AACCGTAGTTCGTTATAACCATATATACAACATAACTACAGCAAATTTATGGAAGAAAAAAGTAAGTTCGTTATATCCGTCAGTTCGTTATAAGCGTGTTCATTATAAACGTAGTTGACTGTACATATAATGAAAAATGGAATTGTAAAAGAGCTAATCACTGAATCATATGCAGTCGAACCCATTTAATAGACATGTAACGTTATGTTATCCATCTACTTATACACACTTATCCTGAACATGATTTCATAATTTCATTGTACCTTAGTATTAAACAAATTACCCGTGAAGATGAGGGTTAAGATAGGCCTTCGGGATGTCATGCTTGTAAGAGGCGACTAACAGGATCGGTTAGTCAGGCTCGTTGACCTGTTTCATGCGTGTCAACGTATCCCAATTGCGTCGATCGATGCTCTTGATGTGAATAACTGGGTTGTCTGGTCCAGACTCAATCCAGACTTAACAACAAACAATCAAACACAATCAATTATTAAACACCCTCCAAAAATGAGAAAATAAACTTAAGTCTTATTTTCTATATTTAGTTTTATTCAATATTATTTTAAAATATTTGATTGTAACAGAGCCACGTGACGTCGAATAAGTTTCTTTGTACAGCTGTAGACGTGTGGGATATTGTTCCTTTATGTGACTATTCACGGATACATTCATCGAAAAGGTAGCTGCCTAAATTTATACATATAGCTTTGGTAGGTCGTAATTAGGATATTATCATTTTGCGTCTGAGACCTGCATCATTTCGGGCTTTCCTCCCACATTAAGCTGACACGCCGCGATATAGCTGGAATACTGTTAAAAGCGGCGTTAAACACAACTCACTCACTCACTATTATCATTTTGTTTTCATTCATTTTCTGTTGCATTGGATAGAAACAATTCTTGTTCCTCTTGTTCAAGTAGGCGTGTATATGTTACAGTCAATGTGTAAAATGTGATTCACTCAGGCAATTTATATAATGTCTAAATATTTCAGTAATTTACAAATTGACTGAAGCCAAGTCCAGATTGACTAACAATTGTTAAGTGGTTCAAAAGGGCTTAACACATCACAATAGACTATTTATCCTAGTATTAAAAGCCCAAACTATACAAGTGTACTTTGAATTTCTTTTTCTTTTAATCTTATCATTTTCAGTCAATGGGTGATTAAATTAAAACATAAAAATGTTTGGAATTCGTTATCATAATAACATAAATGGACCGATTTTTCAGTCACTTTGAAAAATAACTGAATATGTAGGCGTTTAATAAATTGCCTCAGTGGAATTTTACACATTTTGACTAAAACATATACCCACAATAAAATACTATCAATAAAGCGATAAATGCGCTTACGAATGGCGCAGCACAGGTCGCGAACAAGTCTAGATTTCTGCTTTATCACCCGGGTTCGCACGTGGGAAAAACAATAACAAAGGCAACAACCGTCTCGGGGAATTGCTTTAAAATGGGACGAAACCCACCATCACAGGTTTCTGGCGCAGGTTTTGCGACGCCTCAGACGACTGAGCCACAAGATGACTGTATGGGCAATTGGCAGAAAAACGCGAAATCTCGCGACTTCGCGTTCTCGTGTTTTTGAAAATAGTTACATATAACTGTATGAGCAATTGACACACAAGTACGAGAAAGCGAGATCGCGAGATTGCGACATTGGCCAAGTGTCGCGATCTCGCGTTCTCGTGTTTTGAAAATAGTCACAAATAACTGTAAAGCCTGCGGCAATTTGCAAAAAAGCACGAGAACGCGAGATCGCGACATTGGTCAAGTTTCGCGTTCTCGCGTTCTCGCGTTCTCGTGTTTTTTGAAAATAGTTACATATAACTGTATAGACAAATTGGCAAAAAGCACGAGAACGCGAGATCGCGACATTGGTCAAGTTTCGCTATCTCGCGATCTCGCGATCTCGCGTTCTCGTGTTTCTGAAAATCGTTACATATAACTGTATAGACAATTGGCAAAAAGCACAAGATCGCTAGATCGCGACGGTGGTCAAGTGTCGCGATCTTGCGTTCTCGCTTGCTCGTGTTTTTGTGCCAATTACCTATGCATTTATATGCAACTATTTTCAAAAACCCGAGAACGCGAGATAGCGTCACTTGACCAATGTCGCGATCTCGCGTTCTCGTGCTTTTTTGCTAATTGCCCATACAGTTATATGTAAGTGGTAATTGTATTTGTAATGTTAAGTGTATTTAACATGGTTTATATGGCACCGTATAAATGATGTCGGGATCGAGTTATTGCCCTTGATGAATTGTTTGTATATTTTAGGGTTAAGAAAATTATTTTAATTTGTATATCACTGACTATTAAGTTCATGTTCATGTCAATTATAGACGGATGTTTATATGAAATGAATGGTCACTTTGTATTCTTTGAATATGTATGTGTATGAAGCCAGTGTACTATTGTTTTTTTATAATGTTATTGTTTTGTACTTTACAGGGTGTCATTATCTACTCGGGCAATAAAAACTCACACCCGTAGCCTGTTTTTGAAATTGTATATTCCATCACAAACCCCGGTTACAATATGACCATCGGTATTGGGAGAAAAGGTACAATGTACAGGTAATCGACCTGAGGATTGTGTGCGAATATGCGGGAAATACCCACCTTAAATAGGGGTAAATATTGTTAAACCTTGTCCATTTTATCAACAAGTAGCTGTACATAATGTTGATATCTCATATAAACATTAAACGACTCGTGGTTGGTGTTTATCGTACAATAAAACACTCGCCCCTCATGGTTTATTCTCTCTGCAGTGTTATATTGTACGATAAACAACTCACACTCGTCGTTTATTTCTTAAACAGTGGCCTGCTCATTTATGATTACATGCGGGCAGTTTAATGATAATTCTACCCATTTTAGCTATAAAATAATGTAAGGCGGGATGTTTTCTAGTCAGGTTGGACGGATGAAAATGTAATAATTAATTTTGTATTTCGAATTGGTCTGTGAGAATTTTGCTTTAATGAATATGCTAGCCGTGTGTAATATTGCCTCGTGGAGAAAACCACTGGCCTGTGATTATATCTATGAGTGATGGTGTAGCCGCGAATAGCTGCAATGCTGCTGATGGGGCTTTAAGCAATATTTACTCACTCACTGACACTGAGTTTTGTTTCCAGCTTTCGGACACATTAATGTTTTCACTGTCATTGGACATTCATGTACACAGTTTCTTTTGTTAAATTATATGAGCATGTTGAGGGTTTTAATATAATAAAGTACATAGGAAACTGTCACAACGGGAGAGGACTCTACTCTATTCCACATAGGACTTTGTGTTTGTAAATTGCTTAGCATTTTCAAGCTCAAGTCATAGTTTTGCTAAATGCTACTTGGAGAATGAAGAGCATGAAAGAAGCATGACCAAAAGACTACTAACGAGCGCATGCGCCTTGACCTATGATATTACGCATGCGCACGGACAGCGGCTAAAACACGAGAACGCAAGTGCGCGAGATCGCGAGAAAATGAAATGTCGCATTCTCGCGTTCTCGCGATTTCGTTTTTTTGTGGCGTATTTTGACATGTCGAGATTGCGAGATATTGCATCATGTCCAAATGTCGCATTCTCGCGTTGTCGACTTTTGACAAAAAGTGCTGCGTATCAGAAACACGATTATGCGAGATCTCGAGAACGCGAGATTTTGGCCAAATCCCGCGTCCTCGCGATCTCGCATTCTCGTGTTTGGGGCATATCTAGCTCGTTTCCAAGGGTCGAGATCGCGAGAATGCGAGATCGCGAGATCGCGAGCATGTCCCTTACAGTATTCCATAGGTCTTACTTAGCGAAGTGCATCAAATCAGGTAAACCACCTTTATTAAAAAAATGAAAAGATCTGGAATATATATGTTGACGCTAAATTGACGGTACACATGCTTTGCAAATCCTGAAATCGACCGAAATCTGCACGGCAGTTTACGAACCGGAACTGTCAAGTTCGGTGCGCGATTTTGATTTAGATTCGTCAGTCTAGCCAAATATAACTCCATAATTCCAGCCTAGTTCGGCAAGACATTCAAGCCAGCTTACATCGACATGGGATCCAATTGTACTACCCTCCTTGCTGCTCTGTTGCTTTAGCCATATGGTTCGGACTGGCAAAATCAGAACAAAAGAATATGGCCAAACTTACCTTCCACTGATTTATCATACTGAGCTTGAAATAAAAGTGAAACCGCCTCATCTACTACATATTTAGATCTAAGATTCATATTTAGATTCAGAGTGACAAAAAGCTATCCTCAAGATAAAGAGGGATGACTTCATCTTTCCAACAGTCAACTTTCCCTTTATGTCGAGCAATATTGAAGCCGCTCCAGCATAATGTCTTCAAAATGGTTTGTCAACTTTGAGGTGTAATCGAGCATGCTCTTTCTACGAAGATTTCAAAGACCGTCATACGATTTTTGCTCAAAAGTTGTTTGATCAGGGTTACAACATTCAAGGCCTTATTTTTTCAAAATGCAGCACTGACGAACATTACGTATGATTCAATTTCCTGTTGTACCATATGTTCACGTGTTTGTACGTGAACAGTTGATTTGTCTTTGCATGTATTTGTGGTGGTTGACGTCGATGAAGCATGTTATGCTCATCTTTTCGCTAACACCTGGTATGATCACTATCTGATGGTGATTGATAAACATATGCTCATGACACCAAAGTATCTTGTCGCTTGGATGTATAGGTTAAGTGATGTTGGAAATAGTGTGCTGTGGGCATGTGTACTGACAATCTGGAGCCTCTGTATGAAAAATCATATTTTTTGGAATTGATCAACATAAATATCGTTGATCAAATATCACACACTTCTAATTGCAATTGATAAATAAAGTGTGAATGATGTTAACCTTGATATAACTACCACAATACTCACCACATCCAACTGACATGTAATTCCATGTGATATATTTTCATAAGATAAATACCGTTTTTGCAATATATATTTATTGACAAGTTCACCTCACGTGGCACTTTGTTGCCCACATTTTCTCGATGTAAGTCAACGAGAGACCATGGACTATCAGGACTTTGTCTGATTTATACATGCATGCTGTACCTCGTTTTAAATATATATAAAATCCAGAATGATATTTGAGTTTAAAACCTAGTTTAAAAATGCAGAAAGCTATGTAAACATCCTCTAGGTGAAAGAACGGCACGTCTTTCGATACGCGATACACCTGTGTCACAACCTTCATACTGGTGACATACCCAGTTCCAGAACAGTATCCCGTGTATCTTGAATGAGGATAGCTCTTGGGGGACGCATACCACTTTGACTTTGTTTCTCTAACAACGGCGGCATTCAAATAACACGCACCTATCACAGTATTCTGCAGCATCACTGCATTATGATTGACGACATTAAGCATGTTGGGGACGTTGATCCACATATCATCATCCGTCTTGAGAACAAATCTTGCATGGGGACAATAGGTGTTCGCCCACTTATACCCCATGATTGTTTTGTATGTCAAATTCGCATAAGAGTCAAAGAAATCCTCCATCAGTAAATCCTCCATCTGCTGTGATTCTTCCTGGACACTTTTTATCAAGGAGTAATCTTCAACGATTCCCAACAGAAAGACATACCTCACACTTCCGGTATTGTTTCTGGAGATCGACGACCACGTTGAGCGGATAACATCTCTGTTACGTCTGTTAGCGTGACTGGTGAAGATGAGCATCAACAGATCTATCTGCCCTTTCGAGTCACATATATCAGTGTTCTGTATAAGATAGTCGAAATTATGTCTGAAACAGTCCCTGCAACTGTCCGGGCGCACTCCGGGATCGTTATGCTTATTGTTAGAGGCAGGATGAGCATTACCATGAGATGTTGAACTGCCATTCACACGTGGAGTGAAGGGACGTGAATCGTTTTCTTGTTGCTTATCGTTTGATGAGGATAAAGCACTAGCATGATATGTAGAGCTATGATTCACAGGTAGGATGTTCACACTCGACTGGTTTTCTGTTTGCATTACATCATAATCGTCTAGATTAATTGCTGGCATTAATTTCTGAGACGTATGTGCAGTATCTGGAAGCAAATAAAGACTCTTTGCATGAGATGTGCCTTTGTTGGCGTGTCTGCTTTCCGTATGTCTAGGCACTTCTCTCATTTGATGTTCACGTACGATGGCGATCACCACTAATAGTGAAGATATCATTGATACCAATAGAAAAGCTCCTATTATTTGTTTGTGAGACGCCATATTTAACCGTCTTGGGAATGAGGCCAAGTGTAGATCCTTCAACTGAAACAGGGGAACATATTCGGTTTACAGGAATATGTATGTAAATATATTTAGTGCAGAATACTAGATAGAAATTGACTAATAGAGTGTATTTCAGCTTTTAGAAGAACACGGAGCTTGAAAATTGGCGCTTTTCTATATACGACTGTGACGTCATATCTTTAGCGTGACACGATGTGACATAATAATGACGTGCTTGGCTTGCCTCTTCTGGGATGACCACTTCACGTTGGCTCAGACAGTATGTGCGCTAAACACTTTTAAATCCTATCACGTATGAGAACGGATTATGTTGTAAAAATCAATCTTCGAGTATACAGCGACATGCCATGTTTAAATGTTATTGTCGAAGTTTCTTAATTCAGATCGAGCTACTACTCACAATATGCTGTATTCCTCAATGTCAAGCACTAACTCCAAAGAGTTAGCGTTTTATTTTGTCATAATAGAATATCTGTGTTTTCAATGTTGATCTAGCTTTGTATGACCTAATAATTTAACATTTCGCCCAATTTAACATTTAAACCATCCAAAGTCAATTCAACGTATTGAAAACTACAGGAAACCTATCTCTACGTTAAAAAAGTGATGACGTGCCTGTACCGCGAGTCGTATCTTACACAAAACAATTGCCACCTGAAAGATATAACAATGAACTTATAGATTTAGATTACTTACATCGTCATCAAGATTCCGTTGTACTGTACTCGATTGCATGAACATCAGATAGTAACCATCCTTAAACAGCTTCTTCATGCAGGGGTATGTCCCCACAACCTGTTCCGCTGGGTGAGCAATACGAAGATTGATTCGTTTTAATAACGCGTCAAATTGAAATGTAACCCGTGCTCTATCCAGATGTTACCGAGGCGCTTACTTGTATAATGAGTGTTCATATACACAGAGATCGATACTGCGGAAGTATAACAGTGCAGTAAGAAAGTACGCCCTTGTGTCCTTAAGTCAATACCCAGTTGTACACAATGGATGATGAATGGATTATTGAACGGCCAAAGATCTTGTGTGAATTAAGGACCTTTGACAAGCACAAATATCTAGACTCTGTTTTTATATATTTAATACTTATACACCTGATGAAATCACTTGTATATATACTCACACGCAAATCGGGTATGCAGTATACATGTCATTTATTTTCTACAGTAAAGACAAGAAATACTAATAGGGCAAGATTGACAAAAAAAATAAAAAATAAAAAGTTTAATGGATTAAAAGGCAGATGACATAATTGGGTTTTTTCAAATGTTAAGGGCTTATACAGTTTCGGGTCAATACCCAAAATGTCAGTCAACACCTGGTGTGACCATCATTAGCATTGATCACTGCCACACATCTCCTGTACATTGAGTGGATCGGACGATTTGTGAAGGCCCTAGGGATCCTCCTGTACACATCCAGAGCAGCTATGCGCAGTTCATCGGCAGTTGTAGGGAATAGACGCACATTGTGCAGACGCCTTTGAACCTCATCCCACAAATGTTCGATGGGGTTCAGATCAGGGCTGAGGGCTGGCCACGGTAGAACACGGATGTTGTGTTGTTGCAGAAAGGCCATGGAAGCTCTGGCAATATGGGGACGAGCGTTGTCCTGCTGGAAAATGTGTTGTTGATCTTGTGCAAAAAATGGAACAACGTGGGGTCTGATCACTTGGTCGATATACCGCTGAGCAGTGACGCCGTGTCCCCAACCTTGACCAACATTCAGAAAGCACATGGTCCAAGTCTCGCATTAAGTCCAATCCCTGCCCATATCATGACGCTAGGTCCATCCCATGGATCCCTTTCCACAACGTTTCTGTCAGCGAAACGGTCACCTCGACGCCGCCAAATCCGTCTGCATGGGAGACACAAAAGCGACTCAGAGAAGATGACACGCCTCTACTCACGATGACGCCAATTGCGTTGACCCTGTGCCCACTGAAGTCGTGCCTGCCGATGCCGTGGTTGGAGAACAGGACGACGTGCTGGTCGGCGACATCTGAGGATGTTGGAACGGATACGTCGGATCACAGTGTCCCGGCTAATGTGTCGATTATGTATTCCTATGGTCTGTCGAGCACTTTCACTTGAAGTTAGGAACGGGTAATCTGCCGATCTTGTCGAGGTGTGGTGACCCTACGATGACCGCTCAGAGGAAAGTCATCTGTGGTCTGTGTAGCATTGTATCAATGCAGGAGACAGTAAATTGTGGATATTTTAACGTTGAATGACGGGCAACATCTTGGACAGACTCTCCAGCTTCCAAACGTCCGATAGCCTGGTTTCTCTGAATTTGAGTTAGGCGTGGCATTAATTGTTGACCAAGGAGTGGTAGGTCCAAGAATCGGCCACAGTTTTAAACCCACTACAGTTCGTGACAGTTGGTGCATTTTCGATTTCGCGAGAAATGGGTGCATGATACCCACATAATCATCGAAATGGTGCGTTTGGGCGATTCGATTTTTATGTTGCGTTTTTACTCGGGGCTTCCAAAATGCAACCAAAAATATTGATAACACCATCAGGCTTCACTACATGCTAAAACTCGTATCAATTTATGGTTCCGTGTTTGTTACCTATTTGCTTAAAATCACTTGCGTTTCTTTTGCGTGTGAGTATATATATTTTTGAGTGTACATGTATAACATATTTTCGTAAATATGCGGGTACGCATGAATATATGACATGGGATTTATTGATTCGTCGGGTGATTTTTGTGACAGAGAAGTGTGGTAGGGAACACTGTGGTAGGATAATGTTGATAATTGTGAGGAACGAGGGAAGAACAAGCATGGCTAGTGATGACACAAGGGTGAGTTTGCTTTTGTTTGGTTGTTGTTTAACGCCGCACTCAGCAATATTCCAGCTATATGACGGCGGTCTGTAAATAATCGAGTCTGGACCAGACAATCCAGTGATTGACAACATGAGCATCGATGCATGCAATTGGGATCGATGGCATGCATCAACCAAGTCAGCTAGCCTGACCACCCGATCCCGTTAGTTTGCTTTTGAAACAGTACTGAATAAATGTAGCGGGTGAAAGTGGGTTGTGTGAATGTTCCAGGACAGTTTCAAATAGCCAAAATATTCGACACTAAACCATTGCATCCTTTTTTTCTCGACGTTTGTGTGTGACGAATATTAGGAGCAGCTATATAATCAATAATAGCCACTATACGGGCACCTAACCCTTATGATCGAAAAGGGGACCCAAAGGCTTAAAATAGAGTTCGAGGTAATCTAAAAGCCACTAACGGGTACCTAACCGTAAAGGGGTGATTGATCGTAAAAGGGATCCAAGAGCTAAGGATAGTGTTCGGGGTAACCTACCCAGTTCCACGGTCCCACAAAGCGATCTGGAAATGCAAATGCGTTTGCTCCAATATTGTAAAAATAAATTGAAAAGAATGTAGCTCCTTCATGAAAAAGAGCATTAGGAATGTCTATAGAATGACCCATGTGAAACAGAAACTCATCTGATACTTGCTTTACATCGAACATGTTTGGTAAATTATTCTTACACATTTTCATAAGTTTCGTTGTACATGTAAGCAGCCATGATGACACTAGTGGTCAATATATGCATTTACAGTTGTAATTGTGAAATACTGAAAAGACCCAATACTGTGTTCAACGTTTGGCAGCCAGTCACTGTGAGCCATTGCCCTGCTTCACAAGAAAGGGAATCCCGGTAACAGATAAATACAGGAACACTATATATATATCTTTGCCTAGTGGTCTTGGAAACGTATTCGCTTCTAAACTGCACAAAAGATTTACTAAACTGGGCCGCAAAAGAAAGTAGAGGTCAAGTTCCATGATCGATTATAATATAATCAAGGGAGGGGTAAGAAATGATTGATCAACCGCAGTTTGAATGGAATTGTGCAATCACAGGTAATGTAAGCTCAAGGTAAACAATGGTGGGGTAAGAAATTTCTTTTTCAAAAGTTGTCTGAAATGTCACCAAACAATTGTCAGACGCATTACAAGTTCATTGTCGACACGGTTGCCTTCAATAGCGTGTATGACCGCCAGCTGTCTCAATGCATGCTGTGATACGCCGCCTCATCCATGACGTCAGTCTTCTGATCTCCACAAATACCGCCCCACACCATGACACCTCCTCCGCCGAATGGATTGAACTCTCGAATACACGCCGGAGTCAAACGTTCCCCTCTGCGTCGATAAACGCGTTCTCTGCCGTCATTTCAAAACAAGTTAAACCGACTTTCATCAGCAAACAGCACTCGACGCCAATTTCTCACTTGCCAGCGTCGAACCTGCCTCGTCCATCGCAGTCTCAGGCGTCGATGTTGAGCAGTCAGTACCATTCCTCGGAAAGGACGATACGCTCGGATTCCAGCAGCACGAAGTCGTCGTAGTACTGTACGTTGGCTAATGGGATGTCCCAACGCTGTTACTGCCGTCGCCGTCGCCGTCGCCGTCGCCGTCGTCGTCGCCGTTACGAATCTGTTTCGCAGGTGAATGAGCCGTATCTTACCCTCTTCCAGGGTTTGTTGTCACTCGGGGTCGTCCGGTTATAGGCATGTCCTGTGTCCTCCCTGTCTGCCTGTACCGTTGAAGCAGCCTGGCTACTGTCAATGATGTACAACCAAACCTTCTGGCATCTTGGACATGTGTTGCCCCCATTGCGGCCATACCGAACGCATTTATACAGCTAATATGCACGTGCAGTTTATGCCATAGGCGGGAAACCTTTTTCACCATTTTTTGTCACCGCACGAGCGCCGTCGAAGGTGGCGCGTTCGGGTGAGGTGTTTTTTGTTACCTGTTCCTGGGCACTCATATTCCCAATACCCACTTTCCACTAGTTATCGCTGTTTTTAGGAAAATTACACATTGCCAACCTATACTTTCTTTTGCCGCTTAGTTTATATATGTGGTCCAGCCTCATAGACGTAATGCAAGCTGGTGGAATTGTAGACAAAATTAGGCTACTATGGATCGCATATTCTATAGAACGTCACGATGCAAAGGTATTCATTACTAGTCCGGTCAAAATAACGATGGACCCACCACATATTGCAACAGAAATGTTTTTAGTTTATTCATATTTAACAAACCCTCCTTTAACATCATATCAAAAATCTAGGAAGATCTAAATGGGGAAACATTCAGGCTTCTTTACTATAGCGATTACCTAGCATTTTCATAGAAAAAAATTAAAAAAATAAATTTTTGAAATTTACTCCAAGTTAACTCTGTTACATATCATATGAAAGCTACCAATACAGGCTTCATTATGTTATACCTTTCCACATTCTGACTTGTTTTGATTCAGAGAAATCAGCAAAAATCTATTTTCAGCTTTCGATAAGAGTAATCTATCGTGTTCCAAACAGCATTAAATGGTCATATGCTGACCGAAACAACCCATTAAGTTATCAGCACACCCATGCATAGTAACAGGTATGCACATCATAGTTCACCTCAAATGCCTCAGACTGTTGGCAGTTCAAACAAGACATACCACGACATTCGTCACACAGTGAAGAACACTGCAATCTGTGACAGCTGCAGCTGTTTGAATCACACATGCTCGTTTTATAGTAGTATTGTATAATTGCGAGCAGTTCTTTAGGAGCTGGTGGCACACCGGTTAACTGTGGAAGTAGTTCACCAATAACTCTCCAACCCCATTCTTCTGCTGCAATTTCATCCACCGCTTTCCGATGCTGCACCTGATGATAGACCCGCATGCTGTGACATTTTGCAGCAGCTGATGTTGGGGGTAAGCACTGCAGGGTGACGTAGGTGACCTTCTCACGAAACCGACGGTAGATAATTTAGGTCTTCTCCTGGTAAACTGTTGTATAGGTACAAGAGAGCCTATTCTCCAAATATTATTATCTGTTCTCTGGTTATATCCTGCAACGGCTTGTCAAACACCTTAGCATGTTCCCTGAAGTCAGGACTTGACTGGAATATTTTCAAAGATACTGCTTTCCCTATGCTGTCTTTGTTTATTTTTGGTGTTCGCAAGGAATTGTTCCTTCTCGGACTGAATGATCATGTCATCGTCAAACTTTGCATTTGCTCCAACTACACCCTCGGTTCTCCTCAGATGTGTCATATCCTTTGTTGTTCTCGTTGTAGCCATTAAAGACAATTGTTGGCATGCCATAATGACTGGTGACATAATTGCAGTACATGCCAATACATTATTGTAAGTGATTCCACGAGGCCATGGTAAACGCTGCAGTAGTGATCCACCATCAAGCATATACTGAAATTCTTTTGGAATCAGAAGCGAGTTCCTGACATCAAACATTTCCCATGTGGCATTAGAGAGAAGTGGTTTGTTAGCTTGCTTCAGTAGAATAGTTGAGTCAAACAGTTCATACAAGGTTCCGTCAAGGTGTCAGATACAATTTTGCCAGACATTGAATTCAAGATCATCGATCCAACACTTTTTGCTTCATCTGCGTAGACTGTGTTATTAGTAGTGATGCCATTTGCAATATTTCTGAGGACAGGGTCTTCATGAAATGGATCTCGATCAGCGAGGTAGTCTACCAGACTTTTCACATCTGATGTATGTCTGTAAATCCTTGCTATGGTCATATCTGTATGCTGTTCACTGCTTCTGTTTTCAACCTGAGTCAACTCTTGAATTGTATTGTTTAGCTCCGTTCAGACAGGCATGGGCATCAGCCATACAAGACGTTGTGTCTCGTTCATTCCAGTTCCTCTTGTTAGTCCACCATTTGTTTTTAAACTTCACATGAGGACTTGTTCGATAAATAGATCAGGGAATAGACCTCCCCACAAGCGATCAGATTGTCGAACAACGGGGTGACCATCCTCAAACATCTTGAGAACTTCTGGATGCATTTCTGGCAGTTGTGCCAATCATGGAGTATGGGAGCATATGATATAAGGATTTGAGATGGAGGTTCCAATTGCCAGTTCTCTCACCTCGAATGAAACTCCTTAGGATATCCACAATCTCCATAGATTGCATCCAGGTCTTTGCTGTTCTTCATTGAGTCCATCATTGTTTGAAGTTTGGCGAATCAAATCATCAAATGGATTACATATGTCTGTGAGATCTTGTCAGGTGAGCAATCTGGGTTTTCCTCTGTCACATCCTCCACTGGTTCCTCTGTCACTTCCTCCACTAGTTCCTTTGTCCCTTCACTACTGGTTCCTATGTCACTTCCTCCACTGGTTCTCTCACGGCGTGTCAGCCTAATGTGGGAGGAAAGCCCGAAGTGATGCAGGTCTCAGACGTTTTCCACTTCGATGAAACCCATGGACACGGCTATGGTGCTGACAAACCTAGAAACATAATTGGGGCGAACGGGGATTCGAACCCACAACCATAGGTTTCTGGCGTGCCCATGGGACGCAACTTTGCACAGCGAATCGCGGCGCCTTAGACGACTGGGCCACCCGTGCCCCCCGGTTCTCTCATGATCTCTTGAACTTCAAACTTCTGTTCATACTTGTTTGCTCAAACTTGAAAAACCTTCACTACCAGCAAAGCCTTCACACTGGTATCTACAAAGATATGTGCTCTTGTTATTGCCTTTACTCGTGACCTTGTTATTTTGTCTTCTTGGTAAACATGGCCGCCAATGTGTAACTTGTCGGGAAACTTATATTTGTCAACATTTATTGATGACCTCCCTTGACATATAAGATTTAAAAAGGAAATGTTTTAAGATGAAGGTTTTCAAACAAATAAACAATTTTTGATATTATCAAATAAATATAGTTCAGACTAACAAAAAGTATGTAGATGAATAAATATGGATATATGTGTTTTTCCCCCAATTTTGTTTTTTGTTTTGTTTCAAAGGCCGAATATTTAACTTTTATGCAAAATAGATACAAACTATAGATACAAAAGGACTGCATGTGATGCCAGCTTTCATTTGATGTCTAACTTGATATGGTTAAAGGAAAAATGAAACCTTAAGTTTTCGGGCTTTTCACATTGATTTACATTGATTTACCCCCAAAAGATCATACCCAAACTAAACCATTTTCCCCAGCATAGATTTTCCTAGATTTTAACTATGTTGTGAGGGGATGCCTTCTGAACATGAAACAGGAGAAATCATTTCTCTTGCAATTTGTGGTGGGTTTGTTAGGATTTGAAACTTGAAACCGCAGGTAGCGTTCGTATATTATGGGCACAATAGAATAGAATAGAATTGGCAAAAGTTATGATCTTGTGTCATTTAGTTTGGCGCCGATCGGAAGTTCCTAACATGCTAAGAGGGACATACTTAAAAGAAAAGAATATATATTGCTGTGCGTGACACAAGTAAAAGGCTTGTGTAACGCGCAGCAATGGATATTTTTTTCTTTTTATGTTATGTTAGTGTGAAACGGGGCTGCCTCCTCACTCATTTGTTTTAGAGCTGGTAGTTGAAGTATTTACATGTGGCAAAAGGAATGCATTTTTATCAAGATATCATGAAAGATTTAAGATTTAATGGATGTTGTAATATATGGTGTACTTTTATGTAACACTTCTTCAAAGTTCGTATTGATTGTGTCATATTGATAAAATTCTGTGTCATGGTTTCAAAAATGACTGATATGGAAGTAAGCATAAAAGATCATTGGAAGCGATGTGCCGTATATTACAGCTGCCCTCTCCGTGATATATGGTCCTTTCGTTTTAGACAAATTGGAAAAGGAGAAATAATTTGTAACCAGCAACAAATTACACCGGTAAATTCTTATTGCAGATTCATGGTTGTTTTTGGAGTATTTCCAATGAGAAGACATTAGGATCACATACATATTACGATCACACAAAAAAATGTCGTTTGAAGTTAATGTATGGTTTATCAAAGTATAGTTAGGAGATTGATAAAGTCGTCTGTACCATTTGAAACCTTGCATTTCATAACTGTATATGTCATTTAAATTAGACGGAATATTAGTTAAATGTAAGATACATTATGGTGTGTATCAAGATATTGTAGCACATTGCATAGAGTATATGGACAGTAAGTATTGACGAAAGGATAAACGTAACATATGGAACCATTTCTATCAAACACTCGCCTACTGTTGACATCTCATGCCTAATACAATGCAGCAAATTATATCGAAAACGCATGTTGAGTTAATAGCTACAAACTAAGAACTATAAATTAATGTTGAAAATAATCTTCTCATTTCACTCCTTTGTTTCAGTACCATGTCAGCTGTGTCAGTTCAGTCGTGAGGGAATTCAGGAAAAAAAAAATAAATAAATTATGTCTTAAAAATGCTATCCTTCTCTAAATTTGAATTATACCAAATGAAATATTATTTCTATAATTGCGAAGTTTTGGTACAGGACAGCCTGGTGCTATAAACTCAATCAAGGAAGTGATCAACAATTGAGGAAGACATGGTAATATGAAACTAAGATTACAGAGATACACATTAACAACTGGATGTCAGGGGTTGAAGCTTTAATGACGAAGCGTGTAACGACAAAGAAGTCTGGATTTGAGTGTGTAGTTACCAAGTTGTTGATCACTTGATGAAAATATCAGCACTTGTACCCAAACGCCACATAAAATGAAGTTGAAATCCATAAGTTAACTCTGTCTTAATATTTACAACCTGTATACATGCCACTTAAATATATGGTTTGGGCATACTTTAGGTTTTTAACTGTAGGTATTATATATTATCACTGAAAACACCGAGAGATATCAGAGTACTGATATCAGTAGGTGAAAAACCTTCATAGATTTAGATTCAGTCCTATTATGGAACCCATCTGGTGTACATGATCATACCGCATTGCAACCAAACACACAACTAATTTAAAAGAGTATATCAGAAATTAAGTTCGCTTTCCAATATCGTTGTGATTGATATACCTTAACGTATGACACATGTTTCAATGAGAAGGTTATTGTAGTTAACAGCATGATGTTGAAAATAATGTTCGTTGTTCAGGCGTAGTAACATATACACTTTATTTAACGAGGACTGGTCGGCTTGGATTCAGTATACTGTGTCTGAGTAGGGTGTACATGTTATACTGCGGCATGGTATCTCAGTGGGCAAGCACTGTGACAACGGCATTAGTCCGGACTAGTACAAGCAGCCAGACACACACGTGCATGCACGTGCAACAATCTTGGACGTTGGCGTTAAACCCCATTTCACCTTACCTCGCCTTACATTCAGGAGTGATGAGTTGAACAGCAATCATACACGTTTCACTTTATTATATTTTGTGTCACCATACCCGTTAAACCCGTTAAACCCCAACTCACTCACACATAGTTTCACCATTTTCTTGCGATAAATTGTTTTGTCCATCTCATTCTTAGTTGACAAATCAGGCACACCTTTTAGGAGTCCAAAAGGTGCTAGCTGACCGTGCACGTGCCCTCTCAGCAAACTGAACAAAATGATTGAATATTTTACGTACAGATGTTTTAACTGTGTCCGTCTACATATTCTCTAATGATACATTTCGAGAGAACTGGAGGACAGTTTGAACTTGTTTCTTATGCTACACCGTTGCATGAAGACCGGGTCAGTCAATCTTGCGATAAAAGACGAAGCCCACTGGTACATGTATGCGTTTATTCTAGCAAAAGGTGGGAACTATTATGACATGTTCCGAGGATGCATGCAACACACATCGGTACCGACATCGCATCCTCACTGCAAGACCTCTTCACGAAGTCCCCAGTTACAGTGATGCGGATCTCAGGAAGTCCATGAAGCTGAACCTTGTGTCCCCCTGGCAGATGACGTCGTCACAGCAGGCAGGGTACGTGGTTGCCGAGCGGTAACAGAAGATCTTCTGGGTGGTATCTTGTATTCTCACTGAGACGCCGCAACTACAATCACACAATCAGAATGGGCTCAACAGGGTAAAGTTGCAGCCAAGGGATCCGACGTGCTTGTTTACCGTCTCATACCCTATGAAATGAAATGCGAACAAAGCAAAGTGTGCAACCCATTCAAGTATATGCAATCGGGAATTAAATGGTTATATTAAGGTCAAAGTATATATTTATACTTAGAAACCGTTACATGTAACACATTATTTTCATCTTATATGTCTTTATTGCACCAATCTCATTAAAACCAGCTCTTCTACTCCCATACGATACCTCTTGATCTGAGCTTTCTGATCAGCCAATCAGCGTCGAGTTTTCGAAATTCTCGATACGTGTACGCGGAACATTCAGACCAACATATCTCATTTCTGTATCTTGAAAACTAGCTGATACGACCTTTCCCGATTGTACATAATTATACCATTACCTTGTTGTGGATATTGTATGCAGCCTGTCGTGTCTGAGCTCCGATCCGTGGCATATGCACCCCAAATGTGTACCATCGAAGTCATATTTGTGTCCTGCGTTGTTTTGTTTTTGGCCCAAATCGAAATGTTCTAATCGAGGTGGTAAAGAAATTAATTCAAATCGTTTCAGAAATCTAGCATTTGATACGCTGAAGAACCCAGCGCAGCTTTAATTTAGATTGGGCGGTCAAAAGTCTCTCTTGTTTCACGTGAGTTCTTCTATGAAGGTGTCGGTATGGTGTCGTAGGCAACAACCTTAAATTAATGAGATTGTTGTTGCACATTTTACGATATTCCTTCATATGTTTCATGTCCAAGAATCCATAACGTTACGTCGCAAACAACTCTGCACCAAAGTCTAAATTAAACAAATGTAGAAATTTCTCCCAGCTTTTGACCCTCAAGGTCTGTGAACACTTCAGAAGAGAGGTGTACCCACCTTTCACACGTGACCTTCCCCGACTGAAGACAGGTACACTTGTTACACTTGCCGGGGGTCTGCCACTGGTCATTTAAATTCCGGTTGCCCTCACAAACTGTCCCATCGGGGAAGGTCCGGGACTGACCTGAAAGAACAAAAATGACCTTGTGAAATTTACAAATCATAGCAGTCTATTGGAGTTCAATAAATGTTGTGCTCCATCTACGAAATCTGTTCACAACCATATACCTTATCCTGGATGTATTTAATCTGTTCACAGCCATATACGTTACCATGGATGTATTTAATCTTTTCACAACCTTATACCTTATCCTGGATATATTTAATCTGTTCACAGCCATATACCTTATCCTGGATGTATTTAATCTGTTCACAGCCATATACCTTATCCTGGATGTATTTAATCTGTTCACAGCCATAAACATTATCATGGATGTATTTAATCTGTTCACAACCATATACCTTATCCTGGATATATTTAATCTGTTCACCGTCATATACCTTATCATGGATGTATTTAATCTGTTCACAACCATATACCTTATCCTGGATGTATTTAATCTGTTCACAGCCATATACGTTATCCTGGATGTATTTAATCTGTTCACAGTCATATACCTTATCCTGGATGTATTTAATCTGTTCACAGCCATATACCTGATCCTGGATGTATTTAATCTGTTCACAGTCATATACCTTATCCTGGATGTATTTAATCTGTTAACAACCATATACCTTATCCTGGATGTATTTAATCTGTTCACAGCCATATACGTTATCATGGATGTATTTAATCTTTTCACAACCTTATACCTTATCCTGGATATATTTAATCTGTTCACAGCCATATACCTTATCCTGGATGTATTTAATCTGTTCACAGCCATATACCTTATCCTGGATGTATTTAATCTGTTCACAGCCATAAACATTATCATGGATGTATTTAATCTGTTCACAACCATATACCTTATCCTGGATATATTTAATCTGTTCACCGTCATATACCTTATCATGGATGTATTTAATCTGTTCACAGTCATATACCTTATCCTGGATGTATTTAATCTGTTCACAGCCATATACCTTATCCTGGATGTATTTAATCTGTTCACAGTCATATACCTTATCCTGGATGTATTTAATCTGTTAACAGCCATATACCTTATCCTGGATGTATTTAATCTGTTCACAGCCATATACGTTTAAAGTATTATAGCTGAAATGGATAGAATAATCATAGAAATGCCCGCCTGTTAACGGAAATCTGCGGGCCACTGTAACTTGATAGCAGTCCGCTTTCCCCTAACGACGGGCTGCTATCTATTCTATTGCTATGTGACGTCATTGGCGTCACGTTTCTTGTTTGTGACGTCACCCTATAGTATGTTCTATGACGTTGCTATTTGTAACTCAGTGACCTCCATTGTAAGCTTTTTTATATTTTTTATAAATAAAGTCACGAACATGATTTCTTTAATAAATAATGTCTTTGCTCATCACAATTAATGATATTAAACACAAAACAGTGTCGAATAACGAATTTTTGTACCAGAATTTCCATGTGAAATATGTGAGGTGGGTGTTTGAAAATTCAAAATGGCTGTTACTGGCGGTATACGGTCTCATATTAGGTCAGTAACAACCATCTTGGATATTTACTGACGGTATACGGGCTCATGTGGGGTCAGTAGTTCTGCTCTCTGATTGGTCAGTCTCACTTTGAGGCATAATAATTTGGTGAGATCAAGCGATATCTACATTGTAGATATCGCTGCAATGAAATTGCATTACAATGCTTTGCAGACCATTGTGACGTCATTGTTACCATGACGTCACAATCAAATTACATCACTAATGGCTCTGCTACTGAAACTGTTAGCAGTACTTTTTAAACTTAAGACACTGCTTATTACTGTCTCCAAAGTGAAAAAGGTGGAAGAATGATGTTGAATGATAAAGAAAATCTCACCCTTGTCTCCTTTGATATTAAATATATCAACACTCGGCAAGCTTCGTAGTATTGCCACTTTTATCAACTCGTGTTGATATATTTGATATCAAAAGACACTCAGGTGAGATTCTCTATATACACCAAAAAATGTCTCGATATGCCAAACCTATATACCATGAACAATTGGTTATCACTGAAATACAAACATGTTTTTAAAAACTCTCAAGAAGAAGAAGTTAAAGTTGAAGGCGTGGAGAGATAGTCCCACGACAAATGAACCATAACTTTTGTATTTTCAATGTCGATAAGCAAAATTAATTAAGTTAAAATTAGGGCTGGGACGGGTAACTCGGGTACCTGGGTCGGGTGGGTCCTGAGTAGGACCCGGGTACCTACAGGACTACCCGGACCCGAGGTTAGTCACGTGATATATTGTTTGATGACAAAAACTCACTATAGCTCAGTGATCACACCACAAGTCGCTAATGTTCGCATTTCTTTCTGACGATGCACACATTCCTTTGACTTGTGTATGCCTGAGTAAAAATAAAGCTTCAGTCAACGTCAATGTACTGATCGTTTCATACATGTATCTAAAACGATTCCCAATCACACATTTTGTTCCCAGCTCTTGAGACCTGCAGTGGGTACCCGGGTAGGACCGGGTAATAGGGGATCAGGTACCCGGGTATTAATTTGGACTTGTCCAAGCCCTAGTTACAATACTGTTGACTATTACTTTCTGGAGAGGTTTCAATACTATCAGGGTATTTGGCTGAACGTGTGTAATAAGATGTCTATCTAATCGAGTTAACATTCATGAATGTGTGAACCTATCACCTATTTCAGGCACATTAAGTATAATATTCACTCGTATTAAATATTGATTACTTATCATCTGATTAAAATAATATTCATCAATATATACATAATAAAATACACTATTTTCTACACAGCTAATTACGTGTGACAAAATAAAGTAAATGTATCATACCCACTTCACGTGCCAAAGCTGTGTAGTTTCCCCATCACCTTTACACTCAGTGGTAATATGGACATGTAAATGTATATTATTAATTCAGAAATAATATGAGATGTAACACCCTGCGAACAAATACCTGGGATGAAGCGTCTCGCATACGTAGCTCCCTGAATCCCCGCAACACAAAGTAACAAAACTATAATCTTCAACATCGTGCTTGTGTTCAGGAGGTGAAATTGTGAAGTAAGGAAACAATGTGACTTGGACAGACTATATATCCAAACCCAATGGATAGTGTTCGTTACTCGTCTTAAAGTATCATGGGATGGGTGGGGAGAGACACACTAACCAAATATGCAGTGCAAACACTTCATGACCACATGTGGGTCGAGTAATTAGCCCTGTCGCTATATTGAGACCGAGTCGTGTTTGTTGCTGTACACTGGAGTCATTGAGCTCTCTGAATCCCGTCCGCCTCCTCTCGTTCCTCTGTACACTGATGCTTTGAGGGTGTGTTACACTGGGGTACATATGACGATGGACCAAACCCCACATGTGACCTCATCATTTAAACTGAAGGAAATGAAGGTATCCCTCTGTAAATAACCAGCAAGCGAAAAGATGTGCTCCGACTAGTCTATGAATATTTCCTTTAGGCCAACATCTCCTTAAACATGCCAGCTGAGAAGCGGGTTCGGGGTTCGGGTGTGGTTTTACAGGAAACTGAAACTGAATGTGTATTACGATATCCTTTTTCAGAGGGCAATGTTTGTATTTTATTCTTTGTTTTGTGTATTCAAATACAAGCTTACTTTATCATAATATTCAAAGTTCATAGATTTGTGTACAAATTCATTCATTCATTCATTCATTCATTCATCCATTCATTCATTCTTTCATTCATTCGCGCCGAAGACTTGGTGTGAAATTATTTCTTTCGTAATTCGACACCTGACATTCTATTTATGGTGATGTATCCCAGTGTACATAAGTAATGAAAGTACTCGCCTTCCCCTTCGATGCCCAATACATGACGTAGGAGGCAACTACAAGCGATTGGGCGGTCCCATGTGTGACATAGCTGATCGTCTGTTGTCGCACGATTCGAACCCCGAGGGTGTCGTTTTGTTATGAGTTTTGATGAGAAAAAAACGTTTGTTTTACAAAATCTAAAATAATAGCCCCATTCTACCCTCACATAAATCATCCCTCTGTCTCCTTCTCGACTATTTGTGCAATTTTAATAGAAACTCGTATCATTAACCACGCCCTGTCCATATATAATCAAGTATCGAGTATCTAAAAATTAACTGAAGTACAAAAGAACTTACACATCTTTCTAAATCAAAAACAACAAAATGTTTTCAGCTCATATCAGATCTGTATCAATCTTTCAGAATAGTCCATGCCAAAACAATCACTATAGCATCAGTGTTACAAGAGTGAAGTGCAGTCACACATATGGTACAGATTAACACTGAAACAGTAATCACGACACTGTCACTGAAAGCCAACAGTACATCACAACCGTCGATGGCTGCACACTCAGTATCTGGCCTGACCTCCATAAGTATCGATGCAAGCCAGAACCCGTCTTCCCAAGGTAAGCGCAAACAGCCGGGTGACATTACATCATTGGGGATCCGTCTCCACTCGTCCTGTTGAGCTTGTTCCAGCTGCTGGACGTTGACTGGCTGTTGTGGTCGAGGTCTAAGTTGTCACCCGAAAGATGTTCGATGCTGGATAAGTTAAGAGAAGAAGCTGGCCATGGCAGTAGGTCAATGTAATGGCGGTCCATGAAAACGTCCTTGGAGATTCTGACGGTGGCCTGTTGGAAAATAAACCCCTGTCGCTGCTGTTGCCGGAAAGAGAGGACCTCTGATTGTAAGACTACATGTGTGTACCTCTGGGTTGTCATATTTCCCTGAATGGTAACCCAAAGGTCTTCTTTTCCCCACAAATGGCCCCCAAACCATGATACCACTATCGCCATATTCATGAACGTAGGAATAATACAATAATAATAAAACCTCATTTCTGCTACTTGGTAATTATGACATGGGATGACCAAATTAAATGATATTCACACACACATATTTGGATCAGTTAAATTAGCAAAGGTGAAACTTCTTTTATATGTCAATTCAAAAACTGAATTACAGAAAAAATGGGCATTTGTGTTTAGCAGTACACAAAGAAGGTTATTCGAGAGATATTTGAATGTTTTAATTTATCCATACATATATTTTTCTCCTGTTCGCGTAAATCTATTATGATCTTACACAACATCGAAATCAAGAAGGATTGTAAAGAACAAGCGGAAATGTTGACCCCAATTTAATTACTTTTAATGTTGAAACTGAAACATAAGCTTGTTATAAATCGTAATAAAGAAAATATCCTTTAGTTAGTTAGTAAACGTTCTTGCATTAATGGTACGTCCAGTCTCGCTTGATAGATTGTCGTTTAGGGTTGGGATGAGTCCAAATTTACTACCCGGGTACCCACCACGCTATTACTCGACCCTACCCGGATACCCACTATATGTCTCAAGACTTGGTATAAAATGTCCGATTGGGAATAGTTTGACCGTAGCCCTGATAAAAGGGTGGTCTGGTCATGCATACACTGAAGTTGACTGAAGTTTTATCTTTATTCAAACCTATAAAGGTCAGAAGGAATGGGTGCATCGTCAGAAAGAAATGCGAACATCGGTGACTTTTAGTGTAACCATAGAGTTTTAGATATTTTTTGTCATTAAACAATATGTCACGTGACAAGAGCGGGACTCGGGTCGGGCGGGTACTGAGTAGGGCCCGGGTACCGACAGGACTACCCGGGTCCTACTCAGTACCCGCCCGAGTTACCCGTCCCAGCCCTATCGACGTTCGTCGCTTTCGATTTTTACTAAATACCATGTCACACAATTTCGATGTCTAATTATATCAAACCATGCAAATGTATGCTAAGACATGTTCAGCTTTATTCGCCTTCAACACACATACTAAGTAAGGATTGTGGTCATTGAAAAAGAGAATGTCTCACAAGCATGGTACGTCTTGATGAAAGAATCGCGATAATGTGTCACATTTCATTTGGGGATTATATTGAACTGTTTGTGTCTGTTTACTGTTCCCGCCGGCCCCGCGACGTAGTCGGACAAGACTATTGTACGAGCCCAAGTGTGTACATACCCAACCCACGATCGACGGTTGCGTGCACATTGTAGTAATACGCGCACAGACGTTGACGAATACACGTGGGTAGGTAACACGACAGAGGTAAAGTAATATACAGTGGTACTGATGATTCGTGGACACATCTTATCAGCGAATGCCCCATTAAATTGTAGGGAATAAATGGTGTACTACGGTTGTGTTTCCTTTCCACCGAACAAGGAGTGATCCACTTACACAGGGGAAGTATTATCCAGTCATAAGGAACCGGCGACATGATATTCTGGAGGGGATGGGAGGAGCTGGGATTGGATCGAAAAAACAATTGTCCCCGAAAATAATGTCCCCGAATAATTATGCTTCAGATTGTTGGAAAAAAATAAAATTGTTTGCTACGAAGAATACATTCTTGCAATAGGTTTTTAAAAATATATCTAGGCTCACATTATTTTTACAGAATATCTGGTTTTGCGGCTAAAGCTGAAAAAAGTATCTGGTCTTCATACAAAATCCCAGGTGATGACATACTGATCTTGTGAAAGGGTGTAGGGTGGAATTTCTTTCCTTTTTTAAAACTGTGATACAGAATCTTAACAATTACATTGATCGGTAGGTATGTGTGAAAATATGCAGTGCAAGATATGACATGCTAAGTTTTAATATTTGGTGAGGTGAGGTGAGGTGAATGGGGTTTAACGTGGAGTTATAGATTATTGCACTTATATAACGACATGCATGCGCGTGTGTGTGGCTGCGTGTACTAGTCCGGACTGGTGTTAGCCCACTGAGATATCACGTTGCAGTTGAACATGAATACCCTCACTCAGACACAGCATACTGACTCAAAGCCGACGAGCCCTTGTTGAGCCCCTCAATGCCAAGAGCCAGTCAGGGTAACAACAAGTACCACGTTACCGCCTTTTTTTGTATGACGTGTCCGTGGATCAAACCCCCGACCTTCCTCTTTCTGGGCAGACAACGGTGGCGGTAAAGTTTGAATGTATGTCATCGTCCCCTGACTGCGTGTATGTCATCGTCCCCTGACTGCGTATATGTCATCGTCCGCTGACTGCACGTATGGCATCGTCCCCTGACTGCGTGTATGTCATCGTCCCCTGACTGCGTGTATGTCATCGTCCCCTGACTGCGTGTATGTCATCGTCTACCAACAGTGTGAGCCACCTGACTGTGTGTATGTCATCGTCCCCTAAATGCGTGTTTGTCATCGTCCCCTGACTGTACGTATGGCATCGTCCCCTGACTGCGTGTATGTCATCGTCCCCTGACTGTGTGTATGTCATCGTCCCCTGACTGCGTGTATGTCATCGTCCCCTAACTGCGTGTTTGTCATCGTCCCCTGACTGCATGTATGTCATCGTCCCCTGACTGCATGTATGTCATCGTCCCCTGACTGCACGTATGGCATCGTCCCCTGACTGCGTGTATGTCATCGTCCCCTGACTGCGTGTATGTCATCGTCCCCTGACTGCGTGTATGTCATCGTCTACCAACAGTGTGAGCCACCTGACGACGTGAATGTCACCGTGTACCAACAGTGTGAGCCAACTGACGACGTGTATGCCATCTTGTACCAACGGTGCGAGCCACCTGACGACGTGAATGTCATCGTGTACCAACAATGTGAGCCACCTGACTGCGTGTATGTCATCGTCCCCTGACTGCGTGTAAGCCATCTTGTACCAACAGTGTGAGCCACCTGACAACGTGAATGTCATCGTGTACCAACAGTGTGAGCCACCTGACGACGTGAATGTCATCGTGTACCAACAGTGTGAGCCACCTGACGACGTGAATGTCATCGTGTACCAACAGTGCGAGCCACCTGACGACGTGAATGTCATCGTGTACCAACAGTGTGAGCCACCTGACGACGTGTATGCCATCGTGTACCAACAATGTGAGCCACCTGACTGCGTGTATGTCATCGTCCCCTGACTGCGTGTAAGCCATCTTGTATCAACAGTGGGAGCCACCTGACGACGTGAATGTCATAGTGTACCAACAGTGTGAGCCACCTGACGACGTGAATGTCATCGTGTACCAACAGTGCGAGCCACCTGACGACGTGAATGTCATCGTGTACCAACAGTGTGAGCCACCTGACGACGT